TCTTGGTTACCCCACATCTCCTTTAATTTCTATGCTCTGAATTCTCTGCATGATATTCACAACACACTGCTCTCAAGCATGACATCTCCGCTGCTTCTAGCCGTCTCCTGCCAACATGGGGGTGACCCAAAGAAGAAACCCATTCACCATCATTCATTCGATCACTATCTTCCCAGAGGTATGCTGACATCACAATTCAGATTACCCTCTGACTGCAACATCTCCAGCTCTCCTTCAGATCTTTCTCCTTAAAGCAAGGTCAAGTAAAAAATGCATTCATCATCACTATTCCTTCCCTGGCTTTCCAGAGATTCATGAGCATCCCAATTCAACTGTACCGCTGAACCACAACATCCCTGGTCATTATTCAAAGTGCAGGCATTGTATTTCCCCACATCCAAAACTGAAGTCTGGCTAACCATTTCCCTAATGCCCTGACCAAATATTACCATTCACACACTTCAACAACACATTAAATCCGAAACCCTGTACATCAACTCCTTCAGCTCTGACACCCTCTACCCCCAGAAAACAACCTTGTCACCAACTGCTACAAGTGGAAAATTTGCCATGAAAATGTGGTGAATTTGAGTTTAGTCTATTTGTTTAATATTCAATTGAAAAACACAATTTCTCAATTGAATATTAAACAAATTTCACTTTTTATTTGCCACATGTGTGGCTACATTTAAAAACAGGTTGACCACCCATACTCTACAGTACCTTCAATCTACTAGATTTATACCATCTTCAACTTATTTTGTTCTTAAATGACCAAACTAAATCAACAATTCTTCTCCCTGACTTATACCATTCATTCAATGACAATGTTTTCTAATTTCTTCATTCCTTATTCACTGTATAATAATCACACCACATATTGATCTCAATTTGCCCAAGCTTAATGCAACATTCACAAACTATGCCTCACACCCATGCAAATGCCTTGGCACCAACTATACTTTTTCTTTCCAAAGACTCAAGTTTTGCATCATTTTCAAAAGAATCACAACAGCTTTTATTGCTTTACCAACATTTACCATAAATTTGCAACACCAAGGCTGTGGTTCATATGTCAGTTTGCATGCAGCAAGCAGCAGCAGCCTGGATGATCAGGCCCTGATCCACCACGTGGCTTGGTCATGGACTGGGCCGCAGGGCCACTGACCCCCAAAACACTTTCCAGGTATACACCAGGTATACCATTCCTCTTTTCACCCTATTATATGTATTTTCGAATTCATATATCCAAAAAAAATGTGGCCTTATCTAAACATTGCTCAGGTACATGTATGCTTCAATGTAAACCTTTAAAAATTTTGTTCTGCTCCAGTCCTACTGTCTATCGCTCCCATAACTCTTTCAATAATAATTCTGGGGCACACTTTACCTGGTACATATATTCAACAGAATTATTCCCCCTACAATACTTTAAGTCATTCCTGTCTGTTTTCTCCTTCAAACTATGCATACTCTTGAGTAATCTTATAAGTATTGTCCCTTCACTAATATGTTAACCTTATGCACCAACCATTCCAAAACTATATCCTCTCTATTTTAAGCATCTGCCACAATCTCATGTATCTCTGCTCCATTACCCAGTGTTTCCTGCTTCTACACTCTTGACTCTTGCATTTTTATGTTTATTTATCTTATTTGTCTTCCTTCAAAAAGTTTTCTTATTCTTAGAAAAAAAATTGATGATAGTGTCTCATTCATTCTTTTATTTTCCCTTTAGCTCTCCTTCACCAGTTTTCAAACCTCTCCTTCCTCCTCCATAGATTCTGCTTTCCATATACAATTTTTACATTTAAAAAACCTTCTGAGCTAATTTTTACTCCTTTACAAACCTTTTTTGCCTCATCATTCCACTAATCACTCTTTTTTTTTTTTACTGCACCTTCCCTCCTACAACTGCAACCCTCTTCTGCACACTACAGCATTGCACTCATAAAGCCATACTATATATCTATGACTTCTGCATCATTATCTAATGTACAGTATGTATGTACATGTGTATGTAATGTATGTATGTGTGTGTTGGTGTGAGTGTGTGTGTGTGTGTGTGTGTGTGTGTGTGTGTGTGTGTGTGTGTGTGTGTGTGTGTGTGTGTGTGTGTGTGTGTGTGTGTGTGTGTGTGTGTGTTAAGCCAAGATAGTAAAGCAGAATAAAGAATAGACTTTAAATGAAGTAAAGCAAAAAATTATATCAAAAAGCCAAAAAACATGGATAAAAAAAAAGGCTAAAAAATAAGATGGAAATCACAAAGAAACGGCATACCAAAGCTCTGAAATGTAATTAAATTTTGAAGGACTGTGAATGACACCTCTGGAGAGCCACTGGAGCATTTGGTACATATTATGGGAAGTGTTAAGTGCCTGAATACTGACAGGCCTGGTGGAGGGCAGGCTGAGTGAAACAAACACATTGTACTTACCGCCCGGTTCATGAGTACCAACGTTGTCCTGGCTGCCCACTGCTCCCGAGGGCCCGGGCATTGCTGGAGAAGCAATTCATACACTATGGTAAGCATTAGTAAATTCACTTACAGTATATTCATTTCATTCATCTATTAGTCGACCTCGACAGGACCTGAAATAAGGTGGGTAGACCATTTGTAGGATATGTTAGACTCTCCAAGTTAAAAACAATCCATTGCACAGCTGGATAATTAATTTTATCTGACCTTGGGAAGACAACTGAGTGTCTGCCATGTTAAATGATGTATTTTATTCAACTTTGTGGATTTTCTGAAGTCAGATAGGAGGCGTAGTCGGTGGTCGGATAATAGGTGAATGACTATTTCAAAGCAAGCAACAAAATAAAAATGTTAAAAATAATAGAACTTAGATAAAAAAAAAGGCATTTTAAATTGTAACAAAAAATTTAAAATAAATAAGTAAAAAATGAATCTTATTAATTCAGTAATGTACCATAAGAGGCTCCACTCATCAAATTATGGCTTCACTGTCAGATACACATTCAGCCATTCCTCTAATCCAATCCCAAAGCTCGAAAGGAACTAAACTTGAACTATATTTACCATTTCTTACATTATGCTTGCTCCCACCTTACCAGATAAGCAAGCTCATATTTTCCTTACATCCTTCAATTTTTTTTTTAACACACCAGCTGCCTCCCACCAAGGTAGTGACCCAAAAAACAAGGAAACACATTTGTTATCATTCATTCAACAGCTGTCTTGCCAGAAGTGTACAGATGTCACAGTTTAAATGACTTTCTGAATTGCAACATCCCCACCCGTCCTTCAGAGTGAAGGCACTGTACTCTCCACCTCCAAGACTCAAGTCTGGCTAGCTAGTTTCCTTGAATCCCTTCATAAATGTTGCCTTTCCTCACATTCCAACAGCCCGTCAAACCACGAAAACCACTAGCTTTCACTCATGCCAATCTAACATGCTCATACAAACCTCGTAGATGCTTGAACCCTGAGCATACAAATCCTTCTTTACCCCTTTTCCCCCATCCCTTCCTAGGATGAGCCCTTATTAAACATCTTTAATCAAATCTGGTCCAATGGTATTTTACCCCCTTAGTTAAATGCAGCAGTACTGTACTGTCAGTGTCAGTGCCAAGGGGGTGCAAATTGGGCTAAAATGCCCAAAGCCACCCAAATACTGTACATAATAATAATGTTGGTAGAAGTACTGACAATATGATAGGTAAAATGACACACGTGCAACTAATGCAACATTTTATTGTGGCAACATTTTGCTCTCCAAGAGCATCTTGACAAAAACTCCTCAAGAGAGAAACGTTGCCACAATAAAATGCTGCACTAGTTGCACTTGTGTTCTTTTACTTAACAATAATAATAATGCTTCAAGGCAAGTCCCACTAGTCCACTCTTACGACCAGATTGCCATCTATAAGTCCTTCCTATATAATTCTTTTGAAGCTGCCAGTTTACTGTACTCCCAACTCAGAAACCAGGTACAGTATGTCAATAATATGTTGCATAAGTGCCTCAATCTTCAACTTGTCAGTTTTAAACCATTTATCACTTCAATGAGACAACTTGAGTGTGCTCATGCATCTTAGGAGAAAGCTAATACCTTTTGGGTTTATGTTGTGTAGAGGTGGAGATATGCTGCAGTTTTTTAACTGTGGTATCAGCATGCCTCTGGCAAGACAATGACGGAGTGTGTGATGATAAAGCGTTTCTTCTTCGAATTACCCTATTTCAGTGGGAAATGGCTAATGTTTAAAAAAAAAAAGTACAAATCTGCCAATTTTCTTAAGATTACATTAGATTAGATAATAACTTGGAATCACTGCATTATGAAAGATAACTTGAGAATCAAACTTCTAAGTAGCTTCAAACTTTAAGCACTAGTGAACTTTGGGATATGGTCTCTGATCTCTATGTAATAACTAGCGTATGCCACTTCTGACTGACCTTAAACTTTTAAATCATGTTTCTTTGTAGAAATTTAAAATTGGTTTTCAACTGTGTAGGCACCCATTTACTAATTTTAGCAAAGAAGTTAGAAAAACAATTTGCATGCAGCAACATGTGAATGCTGCTTCTGACCAGTTTTAAATCTTCAGTGTTGATGTTTATATGCATTATAAAGTTGTGCTGCATTCTGTACTATTCTGTTTGCATACAGTGAGACAGAGGAGGCTAAGCTTATGGGATATAGATACATCTTTTTGAGACTGATCAGCAACTGAAACACATCTTGTTATTTAAACAGGATAACCGTAGTATTTTTTTTTTCAACTGTCATATCTGATTATGTGTGAATGATGGTGAAAGTGCTGAATGATGGTGAAAGTGCTGAATGATGGTGAAAGTGATCTTTCTTTATTTTTGGGTCACTGCCTCAGTGGGAGACGGCTGATGTCTTAAAAAAAAAAAAAACAGCAGTATTGGCATGCCTCTGGAGAGACTGATGGAGCGAGTGATGATGAAAGTGTTTCTTCTTTCTCCAGGTCACTCTGCCTTGGCGGGATATGGCCAAAGTTAAAAAAAAAAAAAAAAACTGGTGGATACTTGATTTTGATTATTATAATCATAACAAAGTGCCCTAAATAGCTCGCTGGAGTGACACAGTGCACAGACAATTGCTGGAAAAAACACTTATGGCAAGAGCAGAGATTTTATCAAATTTCATATTTCACCTACAAGAGACTTTAACAAGTACCTGCTAAAATCATATTCAAATAAAGGTTTGTTTTTGAAATACATGTTATTTTCTAAAAGCCTCAGGCACTTGCCACTGACATAACCTTCTTACACAACCTTACAGTCCCAGTATACATCAAGGTTTTTGCAGATTTTCATACCCTTTCTAGCGTCAGGAGAGATATTGTTCACTACATCACGATATAAATCATGAGTTTACTATATAGCACAGGGTCACATTCTATGTGGTTGATGAGTCCATTAAGTTAGACACATGACTGTAAAGCCTCAATAGGCAGGGAAGCTCCCACACAAACAAAACTCCATCTTGATTAACACATTCATAATTCCATGACTGACTGCTACCTTCTTTTGGTTGTTTATTATCAATCTAAAGAAGGCTTAAGGCACCACCTGGTGATATCACATCTTGCCTCTGGCCCAGTGTTTTGTTCACCAAGACCTACAATATTACCACATTTTCTAAAGGCCTTTATGTTTGAAGGTACTTTCTTCAGGTCATTAATAGCCCTTTCTTACTTTAATACAAAGGAATTTCACAATGATGTATACCCAGCAGCAACTTGTTCCCAACTGCAATCAACTGACTCACTTCAGTTCTCCCTTATGGGTTTTAGTCTTCCCTATATGTGGATAATTTAACTACTAATCTTGCTGGCAGTCAGCTCATCACTGCCTTATTGCAAACGTGCCATCATACAGTACTTCTGGTTAGGCTACATCATGTGGATTCAGTTTTTGTCTAAAACTAATTCTATAACTCAAATGGCACTATCATTCACTACTCCCTGTTAGGGCTTGCCAAACTGTCAAATTTAAAAGTCTACTCTTCAAGTGCTGTATTTCAAGAAAACAATAATATAATAATAATAATAATAATAATAATAATAATAATAATAATATAATAATAATAATAATAATAATAATAATAATAATAATAATAATAATAATAATAATAAATATTATTATTTATTATTTATTATTATTATTATTATTATTATTATTATTATTATTATTATTATTAAACACACTGGCATTTCCCACCAAGGCAGGGTGACTCAAAAAAAGAAGAAACACTTTTGTCATCACTCACTACAGTTCTAAAACTGCAACACATCTGCACCCCTCCTTCAGAGTGCAGACACTGTACTTCCCACTAAACTCACATGGACTTTCATCACTACATGGTAAGGAAATATTACTGCCCACATAAAAACTGACACTGTACTTCCCACTAGACTCATGTGGACCATTCATCACTGTATGTGGTAAGGAAATATTACTGCCCAGATAAAAACTGCTTGGCATGATAGATTAAATTTTATCAAGAATTTCTCTCATTTTTCCAAGGACTCTTAATTATAATCATCCATCCTTAGGCTTATCTAGACTAAATTATAGAAACCAAGTATGTACAGTGGAACCCTGAATGTCAGCTGTAATCCGTTCCAGAAGGCTGACCTAAATTTGAAAAGGTCTAAATCAAAGCAATATTTCCCATAAGAATTAATGTAAATACAATTAATCCATTCCAGACACTCAAAAATATTAAAAAAAAAAAATTTTAAAGACTATGGTTTTATACACACAAAACAATGAGAACTAAATAAAATAAATAAATGAACATTTAAATCACTATTACATATCTTTACTGAAGACTCTTGTTGGCTTATGGACGACAGGGATGAGGAGAGAGGGATGAGTGATTATTGTTTGGAAGGGAAATCCGCCTCCATAAGAACTTCCCTCCCTGCCTGCTACACTCCCTACATGTCTCTACACTCCCTGCCACCCTCCTACACTCCCTGCTACACCTTGCCACCCTACTACACTCCCTGCCTGCCTGCTACACTCCCTCCCTCCATGCTACATGCCCTACCTCTATGTTACACTCCCTACCTCCCTGCTACACTCCCTCCCTCCATGCTACACTCCCTGCATGCCTGCTACACTCCCTGCCTTCCTCCTACACTCCCTGCTACACCCTGCCTTCCTACTACACTCCCTGCATGACTAATACACTCCCTGCTACACTTCCTGTCTTCCTCCTACACTCCCTGCTATGCCCTGCCTCCCTACTACACTCCCTGCCTGCCTGCCTGCTACACTTCCTCCCTCCATGCTACATGCCCTCCCTCCATGCTACACTCCCTGCCTCCCTGCTACACTCCCTCCCTCCATGCTACACTCCCTGCATGCCTGCTACACTCCCTGCCTTCCTCCTACACTCCCTGCCTCCCTACTACACTCCCATATGCCTGCTACACTCCCTGCCTCCCTGCTACACTCCCTGCCTCCATGCTACATTCCCTGCCTGCCTGCTACAC